ACCCTTTTATGGAGATTGACGCGCGCGTAACATGTTCTGCGCGATGTTACGCAGAACGCACCTGGGGCGTTGCGTTTTGAATTTAGAACTATAAAATTCTGACTCGCTTGTAGTGTTGCGCATGCCTACGTGAGGATTGTGAACGTTCAACCAATGAAACGGTAAGAGGCACTGGATTTTTAGGAGTCCACATTTTATTGTGACACTGGAAAAGTGTTTAAGACCAGCTAGCCATGTCTTTATCATCCGTTTAATACCGGCCACGTGACGGGCTCTCGACCAATAGGAATAGCTAAACTGTCTGAGGTATTTATGAATAGTGTTTTATAGCAGTAGATGGCAAGATTTTTAGGCACAATCTTCAACTGTAAAATGGTATTGCTCAATTTGAGATTTGAGGTGCTGTTTTAAATTCACACAATCTAAAAGAAAGCATTTGTATTGTTGGTGTACCCTAACGTGGCGCGCCCCCTAACGTGGCGCACTTTGATTTTTCTCCTCTCTTGACGAAATGAACAATCCATTTTTCTTACAATTAACACTTAATAAAGGTCACACAATCCTTCGCAAATATACATACTAGATTCAAATTTCTGACGTCACGATTGCGCGTAGAAGGTCAAAAGTTACACAGAAAGCCAGACGATCCCATAGCAAAAAGTATCAAGATGCCGTCGACGTCCAGAAACAATGGCCAAAAAAAGGTAACAAGCAGACGTTTTCTTTTAATTCAAGATTCCAAAACAATTAAACTAATTAAAAAGTAATATTATTCGTCAACGTTATCAGTATTAATGAAAAGTAAGCAGAATAATCCGAAGTTTACTGGAAATTTACCGGAACGTAAAAATAGTGTCGTCTGCTCTAGGTTGTCATGACGTCATGTACGGTAGCCTGTAATAGACATATAAAGTGAATACAATTAGGCCTAGTTTGTATGTGGCTTGGCATCACCGGTACCGTGCGGGTGCACTTTTGATTAGATATTATAATCGAGTAAATGTAGCGGATATGCAAAACGTAGGGGTAATTGACATTATATGAATATTGTTGAAATTGTTATGTATTTAAAACGTCTAGGATGCCTTTTAAATATCGTGTCAGAAATAAATTTATTATTGAAACATAACTGCTGATTTTTCTATTCTCTTAACTTGAGCTAGAGTTGTATATTTAATCATGTATTAAATTTTAAAATAAATAAACTTGTAGTATATCGTTTGTTTGTTTATTTATTCATTTTTGTAGAGAGATCTTCGGCAGAATTCCATGCTGGCTGCCGTTCATTCTTTGGAAGTCAATAACATGCACACGGTCACAAATATATGAACATTATGTTTTAATAACTTCAGCGTACGTGGGGATATGTATTATTTTTTTTACTTTCCAGTATCGGTGGCAAAGTTAACCTGTTAACTTTCATAGGCCTAACTGTTTTTTAACCTGTCAACTTTCGTAAATGTTTTTCTTTATTCGATTTTGGTAGCTGGCAAAAGTGTATTGTTTGTATGTATTGTCATTTGTTGGTATTGTAGGCCCTACTTCTTTTTAAAAAACATTTATTCAAGTTACTGGATATTTTTATTTTTATTTTTTTTACAATATTGGACGAGCGTACGTTTTTGTAACTGTTTATTTTTTTCTAAAAATCAATGTGGCCTGACGTTGCAAGTTCTTTTTCAGAGGCTAAAACAGAAATGACAATGTTTATTTTTTTATTTAAGGGTCATGTCTTTTTGCATTGCTATATTTTCTGATTTCGAGGTTCAAGAGATTTGCTTTACTTTTCAACTGTTTTTAATGTTGTAGCCGTTTGTAAACTTGTAAACACCTAAAGATCCATTTTGTTTCCTGCATAACATAAAATGCAATAAAATGAAACTTTTTTCACGGCAAATTGTCGTCAGGGCAAATGATCGTCATAGGCCACCGTAGCATGGTACCAAACCATTTCAGCCAATCAGCGGCGTGCACCACGTTAGGGGACAGTTCGACAGTTTTGCGTAAGTAACTTCTCGACAATTCTGTCGTACTCTCTGAATTTTTTTGTCATTTGTACTAAACCAAAATGAATGACAGATAGTTTTTCTGGAGGGTGTTCAATCCGGCACTAACGTGTGTAAGTCTGAACAGAATCGGCTCTTGGATTTTGAAGCAATTTGAACGGATGTCCAGTGAGTTGTCGAAGTGCGCCACGTTAGGGTACACCACTATAGCCCAGTTAAAGGCCAAAATTCCTGTTTTCAATTAATGTGCATTGTGTTACACCAATCGTGTTACACCTAGCGGGCGTAGCTAGTGTTCTCACCATATGGGGGGGGGGGGGGGGGGGGTTGGATGTTAAAATAAGGGAAGGCCAATTTCAAGTGGGGGGGGGGGGGGGGACTGGGGGGACTGGGGGGGAGGGGTGTTGAACCCCCGAAGTGGAAGTAAGGTCAGTAGATACAGGAATTGGGAACAAAGTCATGAACAAATATCATGCAACTTAACAGGGACTTCAACCTTTAGTTGATGCATGGAAATGTTTCTCCATTGTACAACTATCAGTTCGTCTGAGTTACACAATGCAGACCAGATATAAAAAGAACATAGACAGTAATTGATCAAGTTCGGTTTACTAATTTTAGAATGTCAAGATAAGAATGAACTCTAAATTTTGAAAGGGTTTTACCACGTATTCAAATGCATATAACCCTATACATATATTTTTGTATTCGAAATTATTGTATTCGTTAATACATTGTACTGAGTTTTGTTGGGCAACTTAAAAGAAATCCTCAAATTTGACGTTTTTATGTAAATGTAATGATAATAAGAGAAGCTTCAGTGTGGGAAATACATGTAGGTGGCTTTGGAGTGAAATTTTGTTCATACACAGTTGGCGTTAATTCTTCATGGAACGTAAAAAGGGCGGTGATTTCCAATGATAATTGGCAGGGTGGACATCCGGTCGGTGACCCATAATGCATTATGCACATAGACAACTCCAAGGGGGAACAGAACCCCTCTCAACCAGGATTTGTTTTTTGGGGGCTCAAAAAAAAAATTCTCAAAACAAATTTTTTTTAGAAGTAAAATTTTTTAAAAATAAATTTGCCCAAAATTTTTGGCCGCAGAAAAAAAAGTGTTTGTGTGTGTGGGTGAGCTTGTCTTACATACGCAGTGTGGACTTCCGAACAAAAGACGTCCACATAATGTAGGTAGCACCGACGTTGTGTGGACTTGCCCACGTCCACACAGTGTTTCCCCATTTCTGGAAAACAGGTTTAGAGGCATTTTTGGGTTAGGTTTATCTGTAGCAGAATGAAGAGAAACACTAAAGGGAATCATTGAAAAAAAATTGGGTTGTAAGAGTTTTCACAGTTTGAGAAAAATGAGTTTTTCCACTGGTGTTCCTTAACTACACGAAAAGAAAGGAAAGTCCACACAAGGTATGTGAAACAAGTATGGGTGGGTGTGTGTGGGTGTGTGTGTGTGTGTGTTCCTGCATGGCATTACGCCTGAGGACAGACAACAAAAGGAGCACAAAGGGGGCCATTGATCCTCGAAGGAAGGTGCCTATTGTCCTCGAACGCAGGTTTGTGTGCTTAGTCTATGGGAGAGTGTTATATTACAGGGACAAAGGAAAACACAAAGCCAATCCTCGGAAGCATAGCAAAAAACGACTGTGTGTGTGGGGGGGGGGGGGGGGGGGGAGGGGAGGGAAAGGACTATTTTGACGTTGGTGGCGCCACTGACACCCCTATTATACTACTCGAAAATAGGCCACATACATATCACCAAGGTTAAATCGTGGAACTAACATTAAAAAATAACAAATTGACAACCTCGGGGGGGGGGGGGGGGGGGGGGGGCTCGAGCCCCCCGAGGGCCCCCCCCCCCCTTGGGTGCGCCACTGCAGTAGTATCTGAAAAGATATTTAAAAAAAAACAAGAAACAGACAACTTTACAAGAACAAAAACACCGGGACCGGGTACGGGTATTCAGGCATACAATTCTCTTTTAACAAAAGTCTGTTTATAGTCGACATACAATAAATAAGCCTTAGTTCCGTCTGTGCATTTACGTATTGCATGTGACCAGTACTCCTGATAATACACGATTCAGATACATCAAACATTTCGGGCAAGCCCTGCTGGGTTTGCATAAAAGGGAATGGACTGTTTAAAAAAAAAAAGAGGACAAATCATCACTTTTTATGGCAAACAATGTCGTCCCTCGATTAAAAAGGAAAAACTAATTGTGGATTCATCACTCGCGGTTGATAATTTTGGGTCGGGTCATTGGTAAAATACTGTTGTCAATGAATGTACATTGTACACAATGTAGTTTTATTTTCAACTCCCACCAAGTTCCCGTTGTATAACACTCGATACCAAGACAAGTTCAGATTCAGTCCACTTCTTACTGAGAAAAAGAAAACTGATATAAGGAAAAGGACATTCTGATGGAGGAATTGTTTATTTAATTTTTAATCAGCAAAAAAGAACTTGACATGTTGGAAATTCCTTTGAGTGCAAAATCAAAATAACAACAATGTCCAAGCTAAACAACAGGCCTATGAATAAGTTGCACTGTGCGTCCAATCACTTTACTGAATACAATCGAATATTGGCTTTAAACAATCGCAATTATGATGAAACAAATCAGAATTATGCATTGTTCCATCTTCACGTTATTTTGCTTTTTAATCATGATTAGTTAAATCAGTCATACTTTCGACAGCTTTCAGAGTCTAAGATCGAATACGCTTTAAATACAGTTGTTTTATTACTGAAACAATTTTAGTTTAAAATTCTGTAAAATACCTACACGTACATAATGTCTGCATACTTTTGATGTAAGAAACACTGAAAAACAATTTTTTTGATTGAGTTGTTTTTTTTTTACCGTTTTTTTACCCCCCCCCATCAAATTAACAGCAATATGGCTTCGCACCTCATTTTCCTTTTTTCTTTTTCCTTTTTTTGGTTTTCCATAGGGGGAATGCCCCCCCCCCATCGCGACGCTCATGGCTTGTACCGATTCGGTAAGAAGACTAATCGCAAACCTTGATTTTGATTGATTTCTCTGTAAACAAATATTGGTGTCGATTAACTTTACAGGATTTCTTTCAGGTGTCGATTAGTTTTACTGGATTTCTTTCAGGTATCTAATGTCGGTGTCAGCCAACTTCTGGAGCTGAGATTTCACGAGGGCTACGTCCTCATCGGAACACTCCTTGATCGCTTCATTGCTCAGACCTGTAAACGGGAGGAAAGATGAAACAGTTGCTGATACTTTTCATGTACAAAAATACATCACTTTTTTTATTATCATTCTGGTTTATTAAAAATTTGAAACAGGCAGCCACAAGGCTGACATTGCAAAATCACATATATACGGAATGGACGTGGAACGTGTACAATCTGAGATGAACGAAACTGAACACACACAAATTCCATAGGGTTGTCTAAGGGGCGTGGCTAACTCGCAAACGGCGATGGGTCAATATGAAACTTAATAGGGACTTTAACCCCTAGTGATACATGTATTCAGTATAGGCTACAGTTGATATAGAAATGTTTCTCCATGTGCAACTATCAGTTCATCTGAGTTACACAATGCAGACCAGATATAAAAAGAACATAGACAGTAATTGATCAAGTTCGGTTTACTAATGTTAGAATGTCAAGATAAGAAAGGAACTTTAAATTTTGAAAGGGTTTTACTAGGTATTCAAATGCATATAACCCTATACATATATTTGCTGGTACTTTCCATGTACAAAAATACATCACTTTTTTATTATTATTCTGGTTTATTAAAAATTTGAAACAGGCAGCCACAAGGCTGACATTGCAAAATTACACGGAGTGAAAAGGATAAATTAAAACAATTAAACCAAACATTTAAACAAAATACACTTGTAAAGTAACATTAGGTACATAAGTGAATGTACTTAAAAATCTTGACCCATCATTTTAAAAGCCAACAAAACAAACGAACAACTGACAATAGACAAACACACGAACAGCAGACAACAGGACAGATTCATAAATAAAGATGGACTAAAAAAAACCCAACACACAGGCAGAAATAGACTAATACTGAACCGACCGACTTTTGACCAACAGATAGACACAGATGGACAAGCTGACGGACTGACCGAGACAAACAAAGACACGGCCCGCCTGACAAACAGACTCAGGCAGACACACAAAACGAAAACAAACGCATCCATTACGACATCAAACTTTCAACAAACAATCACACGATGTTTTGACTGCAAAACAAGATCTTCTGACAATGCGTTCCGGAGCTATTAGAAAACATTTTTTTTTGGATGGGGGGGGGGGGGGGGGGGGAGAGACCGGGGGTATTGTCCTCCCCGGTCCTGATATGCCAAAACAAAATCCTAAAGATTTCACCCCCTAAAAAAATATATGAAAATTTGACATTTAGGCTAGGAAAGCCCAACTGCATTTTCCTAGCGATATTACTGTGCTTTCGAACCAAAAATGAATCGTAAAACAGTCTCTATTCCATCGCAAGCAAAATATGATCCCTTCCTATTCAGATTACTGTGCAGTATTTATACAGTATGTCCTCAAAAAGTGACCGTCTGAGTATTTGTTGTTTTTTTCTAAATAACTACAAAATCATGAAGTCGGTTTTGATTTCTTTTTTATTGTGCAGATACTCCTTATAACCCTATATGAGTTTCATTTTATTTCAGGATTAGGAGTATCTGGAAAAAAAAATCAATATTGACTGCATAATTTTATAGGTATTTTAGAAATAGTCAGACGGACACTTTTTTGGGGACAAACTGTAGAGGAATCTGAGCCCCATTTCAAATACGGGGCTTTGTGACATCGTACCTCTGTCTATGATAGTCTCCAAACCAGTGCCTTTGTTCGGTGGACACTGAGCTTGAATAGCTCTCATGACCTCAAGGGTAGACCGCTCCTGAACCCAGTCGAGTTGTCCTTGCGAAAGAGGGCGTTCCAGGAAGTTTGCTATCGAGGCAACGGTTGGTTGGAAACTCTGGGCGAAAATCAGGATATTGATACAAAATGCAATACTTCAAAGGTACAATTATCATCTGAGGAGATCCTGCCCGTTTCCGAAAAAGTCTGACGTTTTCCGAATATTATTGTGTACGTTGACAGCCGGATATTCGCGTTTAGTTAGCTGGTTTTTTTCGGATGTAAAATGGTTTTATTCACTGCGTGTCGGCGAGTAGCACTGAGTAGTCTATGTAATAGACTTTGGCGGAGCCATGGTCTATGATATTTGAGCAGATTCGCTGATAATTATGCAAGACAACCGCCTGTTGACCTGTAGATTTTGACCAATCAGCGGGCGCTTTCTATTGCGGGTCTTCGGTCATTCACCTGTTGTTGCATCATAGGCAAGGATAAAAAAATCTAGACACAGCAACAAAGGCTGTGGTCACGCGCTCTGTATTATCACGGATCCTACACACAAGGATTAACGAATCGGCCCAACTCCTGGGGCCAATTTCATAGAGCTGCTTAAGCACAAAATTTGCTTAAGCACAAAAACGTCTTGCTTAACTTAAATCAGGTTACCGGCCAAAACTCCATGCGATTGTTATGCTAAGTAAACAACAGCTAAATACCAGTCACAAGCAATGTACATCACATGGAGTTTTGGCCGGTAACCTAATTTTACTAAGCAATGTTTTTTTCGTGCTTAAGCAAATTTTCTGCTTAAGCAGCTCTATGAAATTGGGCCCTGCTGGTTAGACGCGTGATAACGGCCTGTACTGGTGGCAAATACCATGAATACTTTTCAACAAAGACCACTGCGCGCGGTGGCTTTCAGATTTGCAAGGCTCTTCGCCCGATCTGGCCTCGAAGTCTGTCAAGCCAGCGAATTATATTTTTGAATATTCATGAGTCCACGTTTTTAGCCTTTATTATTGAATTCTGATAAATGATAACTACATAACCATGGTAATGCCGAGCACAATGTCTTTAGCTTTAAGATGAGCAATGAAATGTCGCTTTTGTTTCATCGGTTCGGCATCTTATCTCTCTAAAACTTTTTAATAAAAGCCTAATTAAAAACGAAATTTGGGTAAACGGTGTTCTCCTCGAAATTTGACGTTTATTTCCCGGGTAAACACTTCATCTATGACGACAAAAACTGCACAATACCATCTGTTATATCCTGAAGTATTTATTTTTAAACAATTTTGGAACATTTAAATCTGAAATAAGGAGTAGTTTTGCTTACAGTTGTATGAACATTTCCGTTTTAGATGTCTTGCAAAAACCCAACACAATAGGATACCTGGAAAATTCGCGATTACACACCAACGGTATTAATGCCCGTTAGGCCAAAAAAAAAATGTTCGGTCTCTGGTCAGACCAAAGTTCCGGAATTGACGCGGCCACGCGGCTTTTTTTTTTTTTTTTTTTGCTTTTTTTTCCTTTTTCTTCAAGCTTGGATTGTACAGACAAGGTGGGTACTATTTTGCTTTTTTGGTGTCCTCATGTACATTGGTGTCCTCCATAATTTGCCTTGGTGCTTTTGATCATTTGCCTTGGTGCAATTTCCCATTCCTTGGTGCTCTTTGGTAAAAAAAATTGAGGAGGTGCGGAAATAGAGGGCGCTGTTGGAGCTACCGCGGAACATTTTGGAAAAAAAAAAGATCGACGCGCATGATTAAAATCGACGCGCGCGCTGACCAGAGACCGACTTATTTTTTTTTTTGGCCTTATCACGCGTCTAACCAATTAAGGCAAGTCCGCTCAGTGCATTTTGTACTGGAGCTCAGAACAGTCGTTTATCCTGGTGTCTAGGATCCGTGGTATTATGTTACGCGATGCGCACCCGGCCGTTGTTGTACTACAAATCTCTGCATTTGAATTGACCAATAAAACATTTAGTCCTGATGTGGGAATGACGTCATGGTTTAGTAAAGTCGACTCCGATTATCTGAGTGCTTAGACATATCAGACGTTATACGGAGACTGGGCTCCGTGGATAACAGATGATACTCAGACTAGTCGGCGAGGGGTGTATTTTTAATTTTTAAATCTACTGGCATGCTCTCTCAAGCATTCTAAGGCAATTTGAGAATATTTAGGAACTTTGTGCTTTCTGTTTAGGCTCCATTTTACCAGTATAATGTTAGTCAGCGACCGACCATGGTGATTTTTTTTGGGGGGGGGGACTGGATGGCGGGCAGGAAGCTCTCTTTGAACACATTGATTTCAGTAAGTTTATTATATTAAATTCTTGGGTTTTTTTTCAAACTCGTATAAGAATCGTGAGAAATGGAGGGGAACAAATTAACGGGCTGGGGAACACTTTGACCTAGGTAAATCTGTCCCCCGGACAGCTTTACCGGGGCACAAAAAATTGCCGTCTACACCGGTGTGACAGGTAATTCTGTCCCCCCTGGTAAATGTGTCCCCTGGACACATTTACCGGCTCGTGACCCCGTAAATGTGTCTGGGGGGACACTTTTACCTAGGTAAATTTGTCCCCCTCCAGGTAAAAATGTCCCCCTGCCGAACGGTGAAAGTGTCCCCCTGGTAAATGTGTCCCCATGAAGTATGTACTGAGAGCAGCAGCGTGTCGCACGCGCCAGTACATGCTGCAAGATTTGAGGCAGTGATTATAACATGTGTACATATGCGTCTCCCTCTACAATGGAAATTCGTCCAAATAGGAAATTTCGTTACGCGCTATGATGGGAACACAGACCAATCCAAGGAGACGTTGTATCATACTATCAATGAGACGAGGGCCATCGCCATGCATCGCCGCTGTGTTGACCTATCGCGGTAGAATCGCGATAGACTTCACCGTACTCCGAATCGAAACATTGTGTTCACGTATCACCTAATAGACTAAATTAAATATTTTTTTATATTCATGAAGGGCGGCTAAAAGTCCAAAATGTATACCTTGTAGAGTGAATTCATCAAAACAATAACCTTCCGGGTTTCAAAAGAGGGGGACAGAATTACCTGGAGGGGACAGAATTACCTGGTGGGGGACAGAATCAACGGGCCAGGGAGGACACTTTTACCTAGGTAATTCTGTCCCCCCGGACACTTTTACCGGGGGACAGAATTACCTTCCACACCGGCCTTATCCTTCATGAGCTGCTGGATCTCAATCAGGGTGACCGTTTTAGCCGACTTTCGGCTAACTTTGACAGAATTTTTGTTAAAACACGAGTTTGACAGAACATTTGACAGAATGGATTTTTTGGGCAGATTTCTGGCAGAATTCCGCAAAAATGGTTATTTGACAGAAAAACAGCAAATTTGAACAAAAAATTGTACATTCGTTTTAAAAAGCTTCAATCCTTTCAAACAAACCCTTGCATAATGGGACAGGTCGGCTGGTCTAGGTGCCGAGGTTCACTGGGTTTACGGACTTCGTTGTGGCCGGATTTACGCTTTGCCCAAAATTTATTAATGATTTCACAACATCTTTATGTGACTAAATTGTTTATTATGTACTTTGAACTTAATTATAAGTGTTTATAGTGTATTTCGAGTAATTCTGGGGAATTTGGCAGATTTTTGATAAATCTTACAGATTTTTGATGTGCATTTAGCAGAATTTGGCTCTGATCTTACGGTCACCCTGATCTCAATCCTGTCGAGAAAAATTGTCATTGGAGATATCTAATACATGACTATAATTTTTATATAACACGTGAGATATACAGCTTACCTCTTTAAGGTCTTCATAGTAAACGAAGAGAACATTTTTGAGATTTCGTCTCTCCCAAAAACTTCTAACATGATTGATCCAAGTACCCAAATGTGCTGGTTTGGTGAAAAAATGAAAGGGTTATTAAAATGTAGGCCTATTGGTGTTTTTTAATCAATTGTAACTTTTCAAACAATATATTTTGAGATCAAAAGTAATTCGGAAACATAGCCTATGACAATTTAGACAAAATGGTATCGTCCTTTAAATTATCTCGGTAAGTCAAAGCGAAACAGCGGATAAGTCATCTACGATGAGGAGGTAGTGAGCATTCCTTTTGTTCACTATCGATCGTCATCGGCACAACGAACGGACACTCACGCGTGTAGGTGTCAGTTCGTGAATACCAAATTATCAACAATTTCGGTTTCACGAACTGACATCCACCCGGTAGTGCGCGCGCATCGGACACTGGTGCAAATAGGAAGATTTTCGTTTTCACGAAATGACACCCAAGATGATGCGGCAATACAGAACAGAGAAAAAACGGTTTGAAAGGTTTTACACGAATGTAATCCATCCGTATAGTTGTGTGCTTACACAAAAATTTAATTAAAAGGCTTTTTAATTGGAGAAATTAAGGTCAGTGTCAATTCGTAAAACCGAAAATGTAGGCCTACAGGGTGCGCTCTAAAAGTGCCGCACTGTGGCGGATGTCACTACCGGCCAAAATATCCTGGTTCTGTAAATACGCGCGCGTGCAGCGCACTCACGCGCAACTGGAGTGTCAGTTCGTGGTCCCCCCCCCCCCAAAAAAAGGACGCACAGCCTGTTGTGGTGCCCGATCTTGAATCTGCGGCCCCTCAACCGCTTCATAAAACCGTTTCGTATGGACACAGTCAGAGTTGTCCTCGACTCTCCTCCGGTCCCTTGCTTTGCCGCCTTCCTGGATCTCATGGACGCATATTTACACGTTCTAAACCACCCGACCACACCAGGTTCCTTCGGCTTTTCTACGAAGGCACCACAAACGAGTTCCAAGGCCCCTCAGGTCTTCACCAGAATTGTGAAGACGCCGGCCAGTGCCCTCCACTGTCAAGGCCTACAGGTGTTAATGTACCTCGACGATTGGCTCTTCATCGACGAATCGTGGGCATCAGCTGCTCACGTCCGCAGTCCGCCAGACCTACTCCCTTGCCGAGGGCCTGGGTTTCCTCATCAACGAGTCCAAATCCAAGCCAATCCTGTCAACTGTCCACTTATCTAGATGCCGTCCTCGGTCTTCAACGGGGCACGGCTTACCCGACACAGTAGCCAATGTTTGTCATTGCGCTAATTCCCTCCTCTAATTGCGCTAATTCCCTCTGGTATAACAACCAAAGCTCCAACGTTGGTTTGGTTGCGATTCCTCAGCCTCCTGGCGAACGTTACGTCCATGGTCCCATCCAGTATCCCAGGTGGTACCGTGTTCACTGCATATCCAGCCACATCGCCGGTGGTGGATCCAACCGCACAATATCACGCAGGGCCTTTGCTTACAAGCCTCTCGACCCACCGTGACCATCACGACAGATGCGTCTCTGCTGGGTTTGGGCGCGGTGATGAAATCTCACCAAATGGCGGGTTCATTGACTTTAGCAGAGACCACCCACCACATCAACTTTCTTGAACTGACAGTATTCAACGCCCTTCACCGCTTTCAAAGCATGGGGCTGCCTGGTAAATCTGTTTTCATCCCTCTACGACAACACAACTGTGTCACAGTTACATCAACCGACAAGGCGGGACACATTCCCCAAGTATATGCCTACTCATCACATGGCAACTACTGCATTGGTGTCGCCGGCATGCCATCTTTCTCAGAGCGGTCCATCTGGTGGACACGTTCAACACGACGCTCTCTCCCCCGGGACTGCATTCGCCCCACAGAGTGGACGCTCCCAACCTCGGTCGCGCGGACAATCTTCTAACAGTTGGATCTCACCGCACATCGATCTGGGTGTCGCAACAGTACTCAACCGCCAGATCTCGGTGTACTGTTCCAGATCCCCGGAGCCCCAGGCATGGCGAACTGACACCCTTTCATTCGCGTGGGGCAACCTGTCTGCCTACGCTTTTCCACCGATCTCCCTATACTTCCCAAAGTACTCGGAAAAATTGAGCAGGAGCCATGCATGCAAGGGTCCTCCTGATTGCCCCTTTTTGGCCTCGTGGTTTCCACGACTTGTTCGCCTTCTCTACCATGTCCCACTCCTCCTCCAACAACTGCCAGACATTCTTCGTCAGCCTCTCAATGGGGTCTGCTTCAGCCCGATCCGGCGAGCCTCCAACTGACGTGCTGGCCGTTGTCCAGCGTTCCTTCAGACACGCTGGGCTTTCTCAAGAGGCTGCCGCCATCGCGGCCCGTTGTCAGCGTCAGTGCAGTCAACCCGAACTGTTAACGCGAGCCGATTACAACATTTCTATGGTGCAGACGGCGTGCGGTGGATCCCTTCCCTACAACTCTCTTCCAGTGGGGTCTTGAGGTTTGCACTGTCAAGAACTATCGCTCCGCAATTGCGGCTGTTCATCCAGGTTTCTGGGAGGGTTCTTCGATATTCGATTGCACCGCCCTCACATGTATGTTTCACGACCCCCCAATGGACACTCTACCGTCATGGGATCTTGATCGGGTCTTGCAAGCTCGCGTCGGCCCCCTTTTGAACCTTTGTGTCAGGCTACTCTTCTGAACATTTCCTAGAAAACGGCCTTCCTCGTGGTGACAGCCACAGCCCGCCGCCTGAGTGAATTCCAGGCCCTGACCATTATGTCAAGGACCGTTGGAAGCCCGGTGGGGTCCGCCAGATCCCCCATGGCTCTTTCCTCACAAAGAATTAGTCGGCGACATTTTCCCCGCTTGATATTTTTGTTCCTGACTTAAACTCCTTCTCTGTTCCAGAAGACAATCTCTGGTGCCCTGTCCGGGCCCTCAAGTGGTACCTCCATCGGACTGCACTGATCCGCGGTGACCACCAGGCTCTGTTCGTTCATAACCACGATTTCACCGCATCGTCCAGCATCCCGCGATACGATGGGTCGTGACGGCCATACGACTGACGACTGGCCTACCCTGGACAACGCCCACGAAGTTCGGAGCGTGGCGACCTCTTGGGCCTTCTTCAAAGGAGTACTCCATGCGGACATCATGCAAGCGGCATGTTGGAAATCCTCCAACACCTTGGAGAAGTGGTATTCGCTAGTAGAATCGGTCCACACTTTTGACGCATGTAACAACATCAACAAAAGTAATATGCAATGGTCTAGCATATGAATATTGAAGCATATGAGAAATGAATGTTTGTCTGACTGACTGACTGACTGGCGAAGCCGCCTCCTCCGCCGCGCAACGGTCGAGGCGAAGTATGACATCGCCCTTTTTAAAAAAAAATCATACTTAAGTATAACTGAGGTTTAACTTACCCTGTTTGGGATCGAAATGCATTTTCAAATATGTAGAAAACGGTGGGAAATCGCTGAAGATGTTCGAATCCAATTTGAATCCAGATTTTATGCCGTCGATTGGGTTTCGTATCACGTAGATTATCTAGGCAATGGTTGAGAAAGAGGAATCGTTCTTCAAAGATGAACTGTCACTACGGTTATCAAGTTTCAGATGAAAATCGTGATTTCTTTTGAAATTGTTATCTTTCTAGCCATAAAAAGTCATTTTTTATCGAGACATGAATGAACACATTTTCGAACAGTAAATGCAGTCTTACGGGGTATTTTCTCAATTGACTCGGGTCAGGCTCAGGCGTTACCACGGGGGGTGGACAAGCCCCATTTAAAATCTTGAATTGAACAGAAGTATGATTTTTCACAACTTCATGAAAAATGTGTGCACCCCCACGTTCCCCTCAGAAGTTCAACCCTAGTTATGCCACTGGGTACGTCTTAAATGTCAAATCTACTTCACAATCATAGTTCATGAAAAAGAGGATTCCTGGCCCGCCGTTGAGCTATGCTCACGCAGCGAAACTAAAACTCACAAAACGTTCACAAGGATAGGAGTAATACTCGTCAGGTACCTTGACTTCATCGGTGTTCCAGAATGACTTTGGCACGTGCGTAGCTGGGAGATGAGTGTACAGGACCCTTGGGCGATCGGTCGGCAGTTCTGCTACCACCTGGTAACCCATACGTCGTGGCGCGTCGGGATTTGTCACAGCAGATATCAATACTGCTTCGAAAACCGGAGAGCTGAGAGATTGAGAGTCAGTTCCCAAGATGAGGTTGATAATGCGTAGCATCCAGTGTGTACCTGGGGACGAAAGAGGACCGGCAGCTAGGTTGTAAAATAAATGCTAATGAGCTAACACGTTACTTAAAAAAACATTATACAAAAATGCTTTAACCTGTGCGAAAAGTTTTCCCCAAAATGCTTACTTTATTCCATCTATTAAATCAGAAAATACGAACCGTTACTTTTACGTAAATGTGTCTGGATTGAATAGTGCTACAAAGTTTCCTTTGGGGGGGGGGGTGCTGAAATACCATGAAATATACCTCTAACCCCGTCCAGTGGTGGATCTCGGGGATGATTGCCAGGGGCGTCAATCGCCTCTCAAAAATGGGTCCCCCCCCCCCGTCTACCACCGATTGACGCCCATGATAATTGCAACACCCCCCTTCCCCTTCAGCAGCTGATGTAATGATACTAGTAAAATGGGGCCAAAATAATAAATGGAATGCCAAAGTTCCTAAATGTACTCTGGAAATGCCCTAGCATGTAGGAGAAAGCATCGTATATTGTAAAATTTACCCTAAGATGACGCCATCACTCAGCCACCTTCATATCAATCCTCCCCCTCCCCGTTTCCTGAAAGCTAAATCCACCCCTGCAGCTGCCGTCACCCTACGATTGACGCCCATGGGGGGGGGGGGGGGGCGGTAAGTTACTTAAAGCCCAGTTTCCATATCGACGTAAGAATCGCAAAGTTAAACGCAAACAGGACCCAAACTGCAACGCAGACATATGGAAATTTCATCCGGAAGTGTTGCCAACAGCTGTAGCTGTCTGCGCAGTCTGCGTAGTTTTTAGGAAGACCTCCTATATGTTTTGTACACGATCGTCAATCGTGGACCTTCGGTCTATTCTGGACCCTATCGTCCTCTATTGTTCAACGTCCACAATTTGAATATGCAAACAAGTATAGCCTTATACGCGCATTATGCCTATGGCGAAGACCTTTGTTTCTCTTCTTTTATTTTCCTTTGTTCCTATTAAAATCTCGAACTCCATAGCCTTTACACTTGTGGGGTAGATTGATTTCTAAAGACTTCCTTATGGGTTCTATTGTTCCATTGTGATTTATACCCAATAAGGAACCCTGTACATGTACACCTTTGTAAACACCTTCAATGGTGGACCTGCTATTGCCCCTATTTTGTGTATATTTCCATATGTTTTGTCCACACACTTCAAAAGTGGACCTTCGGTCAATCGTGGACCCAATTGTCCTCTTTTGTTCAAGGTCCACTACTACCCCCTACACCCAGTCGTGTTATCATATACTTATGAGGACCTCTTATTGTTCCCTTCTTTTGTTTCCATTGTCTGCAATCTTTCTCAACATCTCCCACAAGGTTTGTACACGAAAAACTCCCGAGGACTTAACTCAGGTCCTCGGGTTATTGTTATCACAAATCCCCCATTGTCCCAAGTGCAGTCGTAAAAGATAAACAAGATCAGATGGTCCCGTCATTGCCTCTGATGTTGCTGCTGCATGGCCTACCATTTTTATTCGGGGCGAGAAAATAAAGTGGGAGGAGGGAGGGGACGAATAATGTGATGTCCAACCATTTTAAGAAGTGGGGAGGGGCATTTCGCCCGTCCCCCACCGATTGACCTATCGCCGTTTGCGAGGTAGCCACACCCTTTAGACAACCCTATGGAATTTTTGTACGATAAGTTGTGTTTTTCTCAGATGTTGCGCGTTCCGCGTCCGTCTTTTTATTCTGTATCTGTGGTGTAATTGGACAAGCTCCGTTAACGCGATTCTATCCGCTCCGTGCACAAGTACCCCATCAACGGCCAAAAAAGGAGAGTTGGTAGTGATCTAGACTGGTTCCCGATCCATCCACTGCGTATTTCGAATGTCTCCAAAGAAGTTGGAGGCGGAGATTAGTCTCGGAGACCATTGCAAGTTGAATTCGAATGTATTCGCGCGCCGACGACGCCTGACGCCCTCGCGAAGACGCGGTTGCTATAGCTTTTGCACACTCAGGAAGTTGTGCGTACGAACCAGTACAGTACAGTACGCGCACGCTGTGTCCCCCGTCCACGGAGCTCAAAAACGCGCCATCATTTGGTAGCGCACGGAGCTCATCGCGATAGGTCAATTATTGACGCCCATGTTCCTGTACATGCAAGGTTGTATAACCAATATGCTTTAGCTTAGGCCAAAAAAAATTAGTCTCCGGTTTCTGGTATGGAGCTTGCCCAAAAAGTGGTGCGGCGACGCGGCTTTTTTTTTTTTTTACCTGATTATTTTGCCTCAAAATGTAGGCTGATGACTGCAAATGGTGCCCGACTAGACTTAGTGCAAGTATATGGGAGTCCAGAGAGGCTACATAAAGCTTATTCTCGATCATAACCCCATCTAAAAACACGTTAAAATTGTGCAGCAGCAGGATTCCAGTCAAACCAGTGAGTTTGAGTTTTGAGACATCTTTCATTGAAAAAAAAAAAAATTCTTTTTGCCGACGCGCATGGCTACGGCGACGCGCGCGCATACCAGAAACCGGAGACTTTTTTTTTGGCCTTATACGTACCACTCCTCTTAGTTGCTGCCACGCATATATCGGATGGGCGGGCTTGAAAAGTTTCAATTTCATCCCAGCAATCAGGAGGAATAAAACTTGAATGAAATGTCACACCTCTATGAACGTACAGAAGTTTCTCCCAATTTTCCATCCTCAAAGGTCCCGCCATGTTCACTCTGTCACAAGCACTACTTGCTACTGCTCAACACCCTGGGGACAAAGGCTGCTATTTGTTATGATGCGTCTACTGAAGTGTATTACCTGATTTTATAAACTCAAACAGGTGACCGTTGATCATTGTGATGGCGCTGTTCATAATTCACTCGCAATCATCAATGCAGCCAAATAAAAGGCTTGTGATGGCTCATTTCATTTGGCTCTCCTGAAAACGAAACCAAAGGTTTTACCGCACATGCATAATTATTTGGATTCAATGGTGGATTTTTGCCACATTAATTTGTGATGAAGACTACAAGATGAGGCAATTATCTATCAAAACATTACTACTCCGTGACTTTTGTATAGCATGATCGTAGCTGCTATCGGCTGAATGAGAACGTATACCGGATGCTGATTTTAGGGCGCAATTCAAAAATAATTGTGACTAGTTCCAACTGTCCGTGTGTACTTGCTCTTGTTTCGTTTCTGCGTGAGTCCATCCAAGACACTCGCCACAAGCCTAGGCTTCTAGGGGGGGGGGGGGGGGGCTCGTACCATTTTTTTTGGGGGGGGGGCTACAGCAAAATCTGAGACAAACAAAACTATTAGTGTACAAAAACTCCATAGGGTTGTCTATAAAGGGGCGTGACCATTGATCTCCATATACACAGTATATGGAGATCAATGGGCGTAACTAACTCGCAAACGGCGATCGGTCATACAAATGACAACGGCCATCTGTGTAGGAGAACTGCAAGTGCATATTTTACGCAAACAAGCACACATTGCGCAGTGTTGAAAATGTTCATAACACGCGCGCTTGTTGCTCGAAATGTGTTCGATATACGACGCAGCAGATGCGCGTTATGCAAGTTGACGCTCAAAATGCTGATGCACGTGGACTAGGAAATGACGTCATTTGAAACGAAGATTCATGACGCGTGACGCGTTGCATGTATTTATTATTTGTTGTACTATGTGCTACATGTATTCAGTGAATGTTACTGTGTACTATTAAGGGAATAAATGTGTGCTCCGGAGGTTTTTATCACTCGTTTAATACCGCTTAGAGTCTGGGTGCTGATAATTACCCGAGCCGGAGGCGAGGGTAATTATCAGCACCCAGACTCTAAGCGGTATTAAACGGAGTGATAAATACCGACCGAGCACATATTTATTCCCATTCATAAATACCTTTTCCGTAAAAAAAATTCAAATAATTCGTTCAAAAAAATCCCGATTTTGTTCAACAAGTTCACTTCATGCTTTTTGAAACATCCTTCTAGCAAAATAATGGAGTGTTCAGCTGGCGAGTAAGATGTAAACAACCCTTTTATGGAGATTGACGCGCGCGTAACATGTTCTGCGCGATGTTACGCAGAACGCACCTGGGGCGTTGCGTTTTGAATTTAGAACTATAAAATTCTGACTCGCTTGTAGTGTTGCGCATGCCTACGTGAGGATTGTGAACGTTCAACCAATGAAACGGTAAGAGGCACTGGATTTTTAGGAGTCCACATTTTATTGTGACACTGGAAAAGTGTTTAAGACCAGCTAGCCATGTCTTTATCATCCGTTTAATACCGGCCACGTGACGGGCTCTCGACCAATAGGAATAGCTAAACTGTCTGAGGTATTTATGAATAGTGTTTTATAGCAGTAGATGGCAAGATTTTTAGGCACAATCTTCAACTGTAAAATGGTATTGCTCAATTTGAGATTTGAGGTGCTGTTTTAAATTCACACAATCTAAAAGAAAGCATTTGTAGCCCAGTTAAAGGCCAAAATTCCTGTTTTCAATTAATGTGCATTGTGTTACACCAATCGTGTTACACCTAGCGGGCGTAGCTAGTGTTCTCACCATATGGGGGAGGGGGGGGTTGGATGTTAAAATAAGGGAAGGCCAATTTCAAGTGGGGGGGGGGACTGGAGGCGACAATTTTTTTTTTTTGGGGGGGGGGGGTTTCCCCCATGCCCCCGCCGCTGTTTACACCCAAACTGTTTACATGGATGCAACTTGCAGCACACAAAGACATGCTACGTTTGTGTGTCCATTCCCATAAGCCAGAAGATACAGTATTCCACTTCAGGTTTTGGTGATCCCCCTCCCTCCCAATCACTCAGACTGAGGCAATGTGGCTGGAGGGGGGGGGGGGGGGGGGGGAGGGGTGTTGAACCCCCGAAGTGGAAGTAAGGTCAGTAGATACAGGAATTG